AAGTGAACACTAAGCGTTATTTAAAAACCCTTTACATTACACCTGTAGTGTTATTATCATACACATGTTTTTGACACCATTAGTTACTCCACCAGGTCTATCCGTGTTGCACTACACTGTGTGCATTCTGCTACCTCTGATCCCAACGGCAGAACAACAGAATTTTAAATAGTTTAAATGGTCATTTCACCCAAACTATTTTCCTCTCATGGTATTTAGTAGGGCTGAGTTGCAAGTTTAGAGCAAATACTTGATATTTCAGTTGTAGTTGTAACTTTATTACTGATGTTTTTTATTCAAGACACCTACCTACAACAATATATGACAATATATATGCATATACTGTATACTAGAGGAAAGTGAGAAGTGAGAAAAGGCTTTTTTTTTATGTAATCTGACTTTCACTGGCAGTTAGCCAACGGAGCTTCAGTGAGTGTTTGAATTAAGTTTTGGATTAATGCTAAAATGTATGCTTTTTCTGAATATTTTGTCATATGGGAATACTCTCAAATTACTACCGTAAGCATTGAAACCAAATGAAATCAATATTGGGAAAATGCTGGTCTAATGAGAAGAAAGGAGCTTTCAACCATTGGGGGAACATTTAGAAACTGGTTAATCTTAAATGGATATCTTTACATTTACAAGAACAAGCACTAGAGCTTAAAGGCTCATCAGCAGAAAAAAAAACCTTAATAACCAGGCCCGCACTGTAGCTGAGCAGCTACTCTGGAGAAAATCCAGCGATGACAGTACAGTTGTTGTGAGATGTGGTTTCCTCAGTCACAGTTTCCCAGCCAGATTTTGAACTGCTGACCTTTCAGTCACAAGCCCCCCTCTCAACCTCCAGGCTTCTGTCGGCTCTTAGAAATCATGCTGAGCAGGTTTATTATTTTCCAATTCAGTTTTACAAAAAAAAAACCTACTTGATACCAGTGTGGTGCTTGGGAACAAAATGTCACAAAATGGGGTGTCATCCTCTCTCCTCACCACTCAAATCCCCCCCACGGATTGGCACAGATGTTGGGACTGCTGGGTCTGTTTATCATGTGTGCAGGCTTAGGTTGAACGCCAAGAAACAGTAAAGGTGCAACGAGAAACACCCATAATCTGCTACTACGTTCTTTTTGACAAAAGGGTAGTGAAGAATTTAAACAAAATAGTTGACTCTGACATAAACCAGCTGAAATCGATAAGGCGGGAAGGAGGGTGAAGTGGAAGAAGCCCTCAGTATCTTTGGTTTTAATTTTGCATTAAAGAAATATGTAGACATATTAAGTTACATGTTCAATCATACAGGAAAATCTGCATATTTAGATTTTTCTTAAGACTGAAGAAAGGTAGTGGTGTTTTTTTCCATCAAGTTTATTGGTCAGTCTTTATTTTCACTGTATTTTACAATACCGGTATATGAGACGATCTGGATGATTTTTCTGGAAATCAGCAGGATTGTTTTACACCATAAAAGAGTGCAAACACAAAGCAGAAGTTTCTGGAAATGATGGTGAAAATAGAGAATGGCTGAAGGAAAAGCTTATATTACAAGTTTGTCCTCATTGAAGTAAAGATGAGGCAGTGCAGAATAAGCCACAACATCATTGTTGTGACAGGAAGCAACTGGGATTGTGAAATTGTTCTTAAAGCCTCTGGACTGTTGGTTTGAAATACTAAAAAAAGCTTATATGATATGAAAGTTTAGTGTCTCATTAAGCATCCACAAGCATTTAAATTAACAATGGATCATAGGATTAATTATATGTTAAAGGGGTCAAACAATAATTATCATCCAAGTCTGCAGTTACTCAATTTATATTTGTAGTCTTTGTGCTTTTTGTTTTGGTTTTACAGCTCTGAACTTTACTGTTTTGGTTCCCTCTCACTGCTCTTATACGTGTGGTTTTGAGACAAAGCAGGCAGCTGTTTTCAGGAAAAAAGTAAAAGTAACCAAAAAACCAAAAGAAAAAGTTTCAGCTTAAGAGCCAGGTGTTTCTTTTTGAGTTGGTTGACTTTTGAATGCTAATGTTGCTCCGCATCTGCTGAATAGGCAACTGATTGCTTAAAAGGTTGCCATATAAACTTTAATTTAATTTAATTTTAAATCAATATATATTACCTAATGTAAAATATCTTGATGGTGCCCCTGTCACCAGCTTTGGAGTATAGTCATGTAGTTATGACAGCAAGCCAATACTGTTTAAAAACTTGCGATGACTTTATGGACTCACATACGGAGTTACACCCACGAATGCAGCGAGAGCTCATCACTGACGTTTGAGTTAAAGTGCCTATTTCATGAGGTCTTTAGGCAACATTTGTCTGGATAATGTAGGAAACCTGCTGTAGCTGGAGAGTAAATAATAAAACAACCATTTTAATTCCTCCTCTGTCTGTTTCTCTTTGTCTTCTGCAGCACTGAATGAGCCAACCATTGACTACGGTTTCCAGAGGCTTCAGAAGGTCATCCCTCGGCACCCTGGGGACCCCGAGAGGCTGCCAAAGGTACAGAAACAATCTACGTTCACCTCTTGCACACTTATGATGATGCCTTAACTGGACAATGACCCTAGAATGAGCAATGCGCTCTCTCTCTTGCTTCAAAATCACAGATACTGTCGCTCTCACAGAGATCAATCCTGCAGCTTCTCAGTTACATTGAGCTACTTCTCTGAGTTGCTCTGATATCAAAGAACCAGCACACAGTGATGCACACACAAAACATTAAGAACAAAATAATTTTGTGTTTATGTTTTATTTGTTTTGTGCGTGTGTTATTTTTATATTTCTAAGCAGAATATGTGTTTTCAAATCTCCTGTGGGTTGTATTTTTACCTCTTCGTGAACTCCGTGTGTGTGAGCTGCTTAACCCCCCGTTTTACAGGGTGAGTGTTTGAATCTTCTCCAGATCAGAGAGTCATATCTGATTATTTGTTTATCAGCTGGAGATCAAGCAGAGTTTTAAAGGATCAGCAGATGTAAACAATTATCACCAAACGATGAGCTCGGCTTTGATAGCAAACCCTGTCATCTTGATATGTACATGCAGGGCGACATTTCGAAGTGTGCATGTGTGTATGTGTGTGTATGTGTCTGTGCGTGTGTGTGTGTGGTTGTGGGGTGCTGTGTGTGTGTTGTGTTGGGTGTATCGTGTGTGTGTCTGTGTTTAGTTAGGACTTACCGAGTTGGACCTGTTGAACTTTTAACTTCCCTATTCATGGGTGGGCGGGGGTCATGACCTTTTTAAACAGCTGCAGTTCATTGGCATCCCCATACCCCACTGTAGCTGGTCCAGGATTGGGCTGTCTATGTGTGACATCATCCAAAACGCATGGGCCGCTGGTCATGAATGTTGATTGATGGTTGGCAATGACGTGATGTCATCACGGCCGCTGCCGACACCCTGGGCTCCTGCCACATGTGTTAGCAGTCGCATGTAATGTGTGTTCGTACTTTGGCGAGAACGTCGTTCAACTACTCGCGCAAAGAAACTTCATACCTCAAATGTCTCTGCTGAAAGTCTGTGGATCACAGTCACATGCAAGCTATTTACTTGCTCATCACAACACACTCATACCTCTGTTACATAACCAAGCACACACAACACACACATCATGAACACCTGTACAATGTACACATTGTACGTAGGATCTAATACGTCAGACACATAACATACTGACGACTGATGCGGCGATCCAGGATATAGAACACACAAATAGAGCAGCACCAAAACCAGCTCAACGGACTGAAATGGGGACTTAGATCATAGCCTTAAACATTAACGCTCTGAGTTTAACACAGCAGATCCCTGTTTTATGGGTCCTAATAAACAAATAAACAAAACCACTAATGAGGAATCAAACGCGTACTGCGCACCAAGCTCCAACAAACTACAAATCACTTTATTACAATGCCTCACCACGACATAAACCGAGTAAGGTACAAAACAACCCCACCAAAAACCTCACTGGTCTAGCTCTAGTCACAAAGAGGAGCCTGAGGTAGAGATAGCAGACCCCAAGCCCGAGATATACACTACAAAAAAACGAATAGAGCACTACAATTGATAGCAACAGGAAGTGTTCGCCATATAGGCTGCACATTCACATTTTACTTCCATTATACAACAACATATACCATATAATGCACCTACTAAACACAAACCAATTCATACCCATTAATTATTAAACTATCTTTGCAAATAAATCAATGTTAAATTAATGTTGATTTGAAAAGACTTTAAGGTAATGTGCACGCCAAATGAAACACCTGCAGGCACAGTTTATTACAACTAAGACTGTCCCAATACCACCACCAATAAAGCGTGTCATCACTTTCTCAGAATATTAAATGACCTCCATTTGCTCGTCAATAGGAGTTTGTTGTTCGCCTCCGCAAAGGACATCGGACAGGGTTGGCCGGTTCTCTATTTAACGCCAATGGACAACCTAAAATCCCACAAAACCTCACCAAGGTGCAAAATGCTAGTAGGAAGATCCATCAGAATCCGAGTGAAGAGAAAGAGCTGACAAATTCAGCCCAAATTGAGAGATAGCATCTATTAACAACAGCTAACACTATTACACTGTATGACAAGAGCAGCAATACAAAGTAGCCTGGCAATGACAAAATCAATCCGCAAGAGAAAAGCATGATAAGACACCAAACCACAAGATATGTCCCACATACCCATAAGGATGTTAGTTCCTATCTCGGTACAAAGCTGAAGTTCCCCAGAAAGCACAAAAACACCAAATTGACTCCATAAAACACAATACACACACAACACGGAACAACATCGATAATCGTACCACACACCGCTACATCTTGTAAAAAATCCTATACGTGACGCCCATGACGCACAGTTTGACTAACAATGCTAACACCTATTTCCTCATATGTAGATAATAATATCCTCTGATTAAGTAGAAAAGGAACAGCATTACAACGTAAGCGAACTCCCATCGCTTACAACATATCTCCACTCATATGGTCCAAGCTATCTGAATTAGTACAACACTCGCAAAAACACACTCCTCCTAATAGAGATGTCAACCATATCCAATAACCACTAGCCTGGGGCAGGACAAGTGGGCTGCTACTTTAACTAGTTAGAAAAAATTGGAACTTATTATTCTTAAAATGTAGATTCATCTCTCGGTACACCAATACCACACTCAGATAAACAATATGCAGCGCTACAGCCACAAGGCCCAATTATGACAGTTAAAACAGTGATCCTGCCACAGGAGGATTAACATTTATTTTTAATAATGGCAAATTTTAAGGGAAAAAATTGAAAATCTCTCATATATCTGAGCCTTTAGCCAACATCTTTCTATTTCTCGGTGGCGATGCTTGTCAAGATAAATTAAAATAAATGAGCATATTACTTGTTACTAAATGAGGTCCATTAAATACCTTAAGAACCAACTAACAATTAGACCTATCAACATAATCTCGACCCAAGAACCACCAAAAGCCCCAGCATCCAATTAAAAAACACAAAAACAAACTAAACATGGACAACCATGCTCACTTTCACAATAGGCCAGTCAAATACCAGTATGTAAGATAATTATCCATGGATAACCACCGCTGGTCAAAAGCAATAAACAAATTACCTCAAGCAAAATAATGTCAACGCTGGATATTTCCAGGCAAAAACTACAAATGAAGCACCACCATAAGCTGCTGGAAAATGCA